ACAAGTCGTGGTTACCCGCAGCGCCACCTCCCGCCTACACACCCGCCATACGGACGCCACCATACGCCACTAGGCACATTCGTCCTTGCTTCGTCTCCACGGTCTTCGTGCTGAAAGCAGTGCCACATACATAGGTCGACCTCGCGCGGCAAGGCCACACACACACAAAAGCGAAGGCGACGGGCAGCTCCAATTCATTTTAAAAATCGAAAAGCACGCAGAAAGATGTCGACAGCTGTGAGACTTGAACTCACGCGGATTACCCCAATAGATTTCGAGTCTATCGGCTTAACCGCTCGGCCAATCTGTCCTAGCATCCATACAAACTCCCACACACCCACGCAAAGTTGCTTCAGCCATTACACGCCAACCAAGCTTCGAACACGCCCTGGCTGCCCTCACCCGACACCGAACAAGTCGTGGTTACCCGCAGCGCCACCTCCCGCCTACACACCCGTCGTACGGACGCCACCAAACGCCGGTAGATGCATTCGTCCCTGCTTCATGTCCACGGTCTTCTTACTGAAAGCAGTGCCACATCCAGGTCGACCTCGCGCGGCAAGGCCACACACACACAAGCGAAGAGCCGGGCAGCTCACAGTCGTTCAAAAACGGCAAGAGCGCGGAAAGATGTCGACAGCTGTGAGACTTGAGCTCACGCGGGTTACCCCAATAGATTTCGAGTCTATCGCCTTAACCGCTCGGCCAATCTGTCCTAGCATCCATACAGACTCCCACACACCCACGCAAAGTTGCTTCAACCATTACACGCCAACCAAGCTTCGAACACGCCCTGGATGCCCTCACCCGACACTGAACAAGTCGTGGTTACCCGCAGCGCCACCTCCCGCCTACACACCCGTCGTACGGACGCCACCAAACGCCGGTAGATGCATTCGTCCCTGCTTCATGTCCACGGTCTTCTTACTGAAAGCAGTGCCACATCCAGGTCGACCTCGCGCGGCAAGGCCACACACACACACAAGCGAAGCGCCGGCCAGCTCAAAGTCGTTCAAAAACGACAAGCACGCAGAAAGATGTCGACAGCTGTGAGACTTGAACTCACGCGGGTTACCCCAATAGATTTCGAGTCTATCGCCTTAACCGCTCGGCCAAGCTGTCCTAGCATCCATACAGACTCCCACACACCCACGCAAAGTTGCTTCAGCCATTACACGCCAACCAAGCTTCGAACACGCCCTGGCTGCCCTCACCCGACACCGAACAAGTCGTGGTTACCCGCAGCGCCACCTCCCGCCTACACACCCGTCGTACGGACGCCACCAAACGCCAGTAGATGCATTCGTTCCTGCTTCATGTCCACGGTCTTCTTACTGAAAGCAGTGCCACATCCAGGTCGACCTCGCGCGGCAAGGCCACACACACACACAAGCGAAGCGCCGGCCAGCTCAAAGTCGTTCAAAAACGGCAAGCACGCAGAAAGATGTCGACAGCTGTGAGACTTGAACTCACGCGGATTACCCCAATAGATTTCGAGTCTATCGGCTTAACCGCTCGGCCAATCTGTCCTAGCATCCATACAGACTCCCACACACCCACGCAAAGTTGCTTCAGCCATTACACGCCAACCAAGCTTCGAACACGCCCTGGCTGCCCTCACCCGACACCGAACAAGTCGTGGTTACCCGCAGCGCCACCTCCCGCCTACACACCCGTCGTACGGACGCCACCAAACGCCGGTAGATGCATTCGTTCCTACTTCGTCTCCACGGTCTTCTTACTGAAAGCAGTGACACATCCAGGTCGACCTCGCGCGGCAAGGCCACACACACACACAAGCGAAGCGCCGGCCAGCTCAAAGTCGTTCAAAAACGACAAGCACGCAGAAAGATGTCGACAGCTGTGAGACTTGAGCTCACGCGGGTTACCCCAATAGATTTCGAGTCTATCGCCTTAACCGCTCGGCCAATCTGTCCTAGCATCCATACAGACTCCCACACACCCACGCAAAGTTGCTTCAACCATTACACGCCAACCAAGCTTCGAACACGCCCTGGATGCCCTCACCCGACACTGAACAAGTCGTGGTTACCCGCAGCGCCACCTCCCGCCTACACACCCGTCGTACGGACGCCACCAAACGCCGGTAGATGCATTCGTCCCTGCTTCATGTCCACGGTCTTCTTACTGAAAGCAGTGCCACATCCAGGTCGACCTCGCGCGGCAAGGCCACACACACACACAAGCGAAGCGCCGGCCAGCTCAAAGTCGTTCAAAAACGACAAGCACGCAGAAAGATGTCGACAGCTGTGAGACTTGAACTCACGCGGGTTACCCCAATAGATTTCGAGTCTATCGGCTTAAACGCTCGGCCAATCTGTCCTAGCATCCATACAGACTCCCACACACCCACGCAAAGTTGCTTCAACCATTACACGCCAACCAAGCTTCGAACACGCCCTGGATGCCCTCACCCGACACTGAACAAGTCGTGGTTACCCGCAGCGCCACCTCCCGCCTACACACCCGTCGTACGGACGCCACCAAACGCCGGTAGATGCATTCGTCCCTGCTTCATGTCCACGGTCTTCTTACTGAAAGCAGTGCCACATCCAGGTCGACCTCGCGCGGCAAGGCCACACACACACACAAGCGAAGCGCCGGCCAGCTCAAAGTCGTTCAAAAACGACAAGCACGCAGAAAGATGTCGACAGCTGTGAGACTTGAACTCACGCGGGTTACCCCAATAGATTTCGAGTCTATCGCCTTAACCGCTCGGCCAGGCTTTCCTAGCATCCATACAGACTCCCACACACCCACGCAAAGTTGCTTCAACCATTACACGCCAACCAAGCTTCGAACACGCCCTGGCTGCTCTCACGCGACTGCGCACGAGTCGTGGTTACCCGCAGCGCCACCTCCCGTCTACACACCCGTCGTGCGGACGCCCCCAAACGCCGGTAGGCGCATTCGTTCCTGCTTCATGTACACGGTCTTCTTGCTGAACGCAGTGACACATCGAGGTCGACCTCGCGCGGCAGGCCCACACACACACAAGCGAAGCGCCGGTCAGCTCAAATTCGTTCAAAAACGACAAGCACGCATAAAGATGTCGACAACTGTGAGACATGAACTCACGCGGGTTACCCGAATAGATTTCGAGTCTATCGGCTTAAACGCTCGGCCAAGCTGTCCTAGCATCCATACAGACTCCCACACACCCACGCAAAGTTGCTTCAACCATTACACGCCAACCAAGCTTTGAACACGCCCTGGATGCCCTCACCCGACACTGAACAAGTCGTGGTTACCCGCAGCGCCACCTCCCGCCTACACACCCGCCATACGGACGCCACCATACGCCACTAGGCACATTTGTCCTTGCTTCGTCTCCACGGTCTTCGTGCTGAAAGCAGTGCCACATCCAGGTCGACCTCGCGCGGCAAGGCCACACACACACACAAGCGAGGCGCCGGTCAGCTCCAATTCGTTTAAAATCGACAAGCACGCATAAAGATGTCGACAGCTGTGAGACTTGAACTCACGCGGGTTACCCCAATAGATTTCGAGTCTATCGCCTTAACCGCTCGGCCAAGCTGTCCTAGCATCCATACAGACTCCCACACACCCACGCAAAGTTGCTTCAACCATTACACGCCAACCAAGCTTCGAACACGCCCTGGATGCCCTCACCCGACACTGAACAAGTCGTGGTTACCCGCAGCGCCACCTCCCGCCTACACACCCGCCATACGGACGCCACCATACGCCACTAGGCACATTCGTCCTTGCTTCGTCTCCACGGTCTTCGTGCTGAAAGCAGTGCCACATCCAGGTCGACCTCGCGCGGCAAGGCCACACACACACACAAGCGAAGCGCCGGTCAGCTCAAATTCGTTCAAAAACGACAAGCACGCATAAAGATGTCGACAGCTGTGAGACTTGAACTCACGCGGGTTACCCCAATAGATTTCGAGTCTATCGCCTTAACCGCTCGGCCAAGCTGTCCTAGCATCCATACAGACTCCCACACACCCACGCAAAGTTGCTTCAACCATTACACGCCAACCAAGCTTTGAACACGCCCTGGATGCCCTCACCCGACACTGAACAAGTCGTGGTCACCCGCAGCGCCACCTCCCGCTTACACACCCGTCGTACGGACGCCACCAAACGCCGGTAGATGCATTCGTTCCTGCTTCATGTCCACGGTCTTCTTACTGAAAGCAGTGACACATCCAGGTCGACCTCGCGCGGCAAGGCCACACACACACACAAGCGAAGCGCCGGCCAGCTCAAATTCGTTCAAAAACGACAAGCACGCATAAAGATGTCGACAGCTGTGAGACTTGAACTCACGCGGATTACCCCAATAGATTTCGAGTCTATCGGCTTAAACGCTCGGCCAAGCTGTCCAAGCATCCATACAAACTCCCACACACCCACGCAAAGTTGCTTCAGCCATTACACGCCAACCAAGCTTCGAACACGCCCTGGATGCCCTCACCCGACACCGAACAAGTCGTGGTTACCCGCAGCGCCACCTCCCGCCTACACCCTCGCCATACGGACGCCACCATACGCCACTAGGCGCATTCGTCCTTGCTTCGTCTCCACGGTCTTCTTGCTGAAAGCAGTGCCACATCCAGGTCGACCTCGCGCGGCAAGGCCACACACACACAAGCGAAGCGCCGGCAAGCTAGGCCATAAAACCGAGCGACATTTCATCTGCAATGCACAATAAATTTAATCACAAAAAGTTGGAATTCAATGTATACCGGTATACATGTGGGCATTTTCCCAAATCCCAAATTTCGTGCTTTTGAATTTGTACGGCTCAAATGTCTAGCAATCATTTGGTTTCATTTGTCCCTGAACAACCAGAGACAGGCAAACAAACACGACTGAAGCTATTAGCATGACTGTCTCGAGACACGAAAACCCCCCAATCAGCGGCGTCTCCTGTTCTTGCTGCTGTCCGTCTTGTACACGAGAAAATGGCTTGAACGACCGATCCGCCTTGACCGAACGGGATTTCTTCATCCCGCCGTCTGAGTTGTTGGTAGTTTGAAATTCATCTATACATCGCCCAGTCTGGGCCTTCCATGCTCGCTGGGCTTTAATATATCCACGCACCCATTGAACCTCCTTCTCGTCCATGCGACCGCGCTGGCGCCGCATTTCCTGCAAATACAGACCTTCCCGGGGCTCTGTCGCATGTAAGCGCCATTCATCCAATTCCAATTCGCTGCTATAGATATCGTCGTCGCTAGCTTCCTCGCTGCACTGATAATCACTATCGCTCTCTTCGTCGTCAACGGCGCGTAACTCTCGTATCATGTCCGCTGTGTTGGTCTCTACATGTAGTGATGTGGAATCAGGCGTTGATGGCACCCTCAATAGTCTCTCAAGAGTGGCAGGAGGATGTTCATGGTAACGCGACACAAAGAACGTAGAGCTTCCTCTAAGATCGTCCATTTCGCTAAACGTTCCTCCAGATCCGAAAGCGTTGGTTTCTGACGCCCCCTCAGCAAAATGAGCCTCACTGGTCGAAGAGATCAGGACTGCACTGCTTTATTTAAAATGCTACTGCTGTGAACTTCGTAAGTGTGTTTGTACAATGTCCACGAAGGAGCCTAAACGATCGTTGGCGAAGATCCTGGCGCGCGCTTGTAGCACTGAGGCGAAGACTCGCCGGTTGATTTAGGACTGAGTGACGAGTTGGGACCACCAGATGCAGCAGATCGACCGCCACTAGACACCGAGTCGTCAACGATTGGACCTCGCGTGGGCGACAGCGGCGGCGTTCCTCTTCCATTCCGTCTGCTGTCCAAGGACGATTCTGAGACTGGTGGCATCATGAGTCCGCCAGAGCCACTGCCACCAGCATACTGCTTCTTTCCTAACTTGTACTGGGCGACGATCTCGCCACGGATGATTAGGAAAATCCGGTAGAGCACAGACGCTAGCAGGACGGAACCCAACAACACAGTGTAAAATATCGTAGGCAGCACAACACTCGGACGGATCTCGCCGCTCCTTATGTGCTCATTGGCCACATGTGGAGCGGCACCGTGCTCTGCGCCGCTTGTGGCAGTAGCCGCAGCCTCCGCCGCTTGGACGTGCTGTCGCTCGAGCTCTGTCTCCAGGAGGTGGATGGTCTCCAGGCGGCTCTCTGCGATGCGCGTTATGTTCTCCACCTGTACAAAGCAACACTTTTTTAGTCAAAGAAATTACGCAGTAGATTCAGCGCCAGGCTCTCACCTGCATTCGCAAAGCCATGACGTCGTCCTTGAGCTTCTCGCGCTGTTGCGTGAGCGCCTCAATCTCAGGGCTCATCATCTGATGCAGCGCAAAGGTACCCACGATTCCCACCATAAGCAGCGCGACTATCACCGTTAGACCACCGGCTGCTCTGCTCGTTCCCATCGACGCACGGGTAAGGCAGCGCCGAACGCGCGGGAAGCGCCGTTGTAGCGCACGCGAGCAGCCGCTAGAGTTGGCAGTTGAGGATGACTGAGGCCTGCCAGAGCTGGAGTTGGCACCAGACTCTGAGAGAAAGGAGCGTCCATCCTCTGAAATATTGATGCTGGTGGTCGGCGACTGGGAGATGGCGGCCGTGGTGGTAGAGGAAGACATCGGCGACGAGTTCTTGAGTGCGTTGAGAAACGCTGGGTGTACTTTTACAAAAGCCAAGTATAAAAAAGGACACACGATTACGGTAACCCACTTAGGGGCATGTATATTGAGCACACACACTTCGATGCTTTGCTATCCTACCTTCTTGCCATCCAGGTATCAACCCAGCCACATATCATCCAGCGCAGCAAAAGCAGTGCGACACAGTAAGCTTACCTCAAGGTTGCGCGAATCTCAGCGGCGATAGCTTCGGCCGCGGCTACGACTGCGGCTGCGACTAGGACGGTGTCTCCGAGAGCTGCTGCGTCGGCGAGAACGAGACTTTGAGCGGGAGGGCGAACGGGAGCGTGACGAAGCCGACGAGATTGATCGTGAACGAGATCTATCCGAAGACAACGAACGAGACCGAGAGGGCGAACGCACGCGTCGGCGGCGCGAAGTGCGCGAGGCCCTGGACGAGGCGATACTCGTACTTCTTCCGCGACGACGTCGGTCGTCCGGAGACGCCCTGCGCAGTCTGCGTTTGCGAGACTGGGCCTGCAAGTCTGCAGCAGGAGACCGCGGGGCGTCAACATTCTCTTCTTTTTTCACACGGACGGGTAGTGCAACTGGAAGGGTCTCCTTTTCTTCGATCTTCTTTTCAGGTGATGCCTCGCGATTCGGGTCTTGTTCTTCAGTAACAGGCGTGACGTCTTTCTTCTGCACTGCTGATGGAACGCTGGTTTTTGGCTCAGCCTTGACCGGTGAATCGTCGTTAGCCACTGCAGGCGCAGAGCGACCTGACAGATTCAATACCTTGCGCTCACCATTCAGGACAGCGGAGCGAGCGGGCGATACACTCACAGACAACTTCTCCTCTTTGACGTTTCCTTGAATGCACTTAGCTTTCTTTCCACGAGAACCACTTCGGCGACGGCTGGAATCACGATTGTGGTCCGAATCCGAGCCAGAACTAGACCCCGAGTCTGATTTCGAGCTATGCGAGGAGCGCGAGCGAGAGCGATTGGTCCTCTTTAGCTTCACATAATCTTTCTCGCCATGCTTTATCTTTCGGTCACGCGAACGAGAGCGTGAGCGACTGGAGGCACTTGAACTCCTGCTGCGTGACGATCCAGAACTGGAGGAGGACATTGAACGGCGCTTTCGCTCCGCACCCGACGACAGCCGACGCGATGCCCGTTCGGCTACTGCAGAACGCGGATTAGATTCCGCGTCGCGGCGAACCTTGGCATTGTCACGGTCTCTACTGCGTCGATCCCGGAGGCGACGATTCCCAGGAGATCTAGAGCGACGCGAGCGTGAGGTCGATTTCGATCTTTCCCTGGAGCGAGGAGAGCGGAAGCGCTCGCGTCTCGCCTTTATCGTTCCTTCCCTCTCCTCTCTCTCCTTCAGTCTCTGCTGACGCGCTTCCTCCCTTTCTTTCCACTCGTGCTCTCTCTTCTCCTTCCTCTCCTGACGACGTCGCTCCTGCATCTCTGGGTCGAAACTTTCGCCAGCAACGTAGTCCATGGCGATACCAAACGCGTCTTTAACCCGCTTGTTTTCCTCCTCCTTGCGCTTCTGCCGAGCGTGCGAGCTCTCCGAGTCTTTGGCCTTCCCCCGCCCTCTGTCTCCAGCGCCATTTAGGCGCGCTAGCAGTCGCTCACGTTCTCGCTTAACCTTGTCCTGGATTTCGTCGGGATCGCACCCACGGTCCTCCATCTCCAGCGACATTTCCAGTAGCTGTAGCTCCACCTTTCGCTTCTGTTCGTGCAACAAGATGTCTGGGTTCGGCGGCTGACGGTTCCTGCCTCCCCCTCGAGGGTCAAAATCCCCCGACGATCCGCCACGCTGGTTACGAGCCAGCGTATGTCGCGTGCGCGACGCGTTCACATAGCTGAGGTTGCGCTGTACGTAGCCATTCGTACCGGAGCCTCGCACCGTGCGAAGCCCGATCCCGTTGTACATGAGCAGTAACGAGTCGCTCCCCCCCCCTTTCGGCCGGATTTTCTATTTTCGTACTTAGTATGTTTCGACTAAGTGCGACAAGAGAATCCACTTTGTGCGGAGTTGCAGTATCTGGCAAAGTATTCTGCAAAAAGATGCTCGCGCTGCAAGTAGGGCAATGCGGGAATCAGCTCGGGCGCACGCTCTTCGACAAGCTAGCAGAGGAGGAGGGTGCGACCAGCTTTATAGATTCTGCCTTCTTCCGTTCGCAGGACGACTTCTGCAACCCCCATTCGGTGGTGCGCGCCTCCAACACACGACGAGCGCGCGCGGTGCTTATTGACATGGAGCCAAAGGTCATTCAGCAGTGTTACAAGCCATCGAGCTGCAGGAAGGCGGATGCTTTATGGGAATACGATCCCACGAACTCGTTCACAAGGCAAAGCGGTTCAGGTAACAACTGGGCCTGTGGATACCGAACACAGGGCACGGAGGTGGAAAGCGAGCTGTTGGACCTGCTTCAGTCGGTGAGTTGTTGCCCTGCCTTGCAACTTTGGTGTTTGTTGTTAGCCTTCTGACTAGCTCGTTTTTATTGATCGTGCTCTTTGGTGTGCTCTGTAACAAGGAAGCTGAGCGTTGTGACTTGTTGAAAGGATTTCTCACGCTGCAGAGCGCAGCAGGAGGCACAGGCTCTGGACTGGGCTCGTTCCTCACAGAAACGTTAGCGGACTTCTACCCGTCGAGTTCATTGTTGAACGCTGTGGTGTGGCCATATCAGTCTGGGGAAGTGATTGTGCAGAACTACAATGCGATGCTCACCATGGCAAGTCTCGCTGACGTCGCTCACGGCATTTTCATGCTGCAGAACGACACAGCCAACCTGATCTGCCAGAAGCTGCTGCGTATCCCGAATCCTTCGCTCGATGCAATGAACGAGGTTTTAGCAGCTCATTTGGCTTCTTCTCTTCTGTCGGTGGACGCCGTCTCAACATGTCGATCGGGAGGGAAGCTTGACCCTTTGAGAGAAATCTGTGAACGTTTGTGTCAGCATCCGGTACGTAAATTGCATTAATCTGCTCAGCAAATCTTGTTTAATATTTGTGTGCTCACCTTTGGCTGTATTGATGTATCAGGCGTACAAGCTTTTGGATATCAAGATGGCTCCGCTGATGCCACACCGGTCTAAGAAGTTCAGCACACACTCCTGGACGGGCATCGTGAAGCATTTACACCAGGTTTGCTATTCTTTCTGCTTATTACACTGGTGTGATGCGCAGCCTCACCGTCTCAATTATTGACTTGTGCCATTGGCTGCCAGATGCAAGTTGCCAATGCAGCGTTTGAAGAAGGCATCGATTGGGACATATCTCTAGCAACTGACCACGGGAAAGCTCTCAATCGGGCAGTCGGTAGTATCCTCATTTTACGAGGTGAGAGCTCAATACAAGCTGACCCAACAACATTCTCGGACCCACGGATGTATGCCCCATGGAATGCGGATCCGTTTCGATGCTACTCGTCCTGCTCGAGTTTCAGTGCCTACGACAAAACAGGGACTTTGATCAGGTACTGCTTGCAGGATATGAGATAACCGGGTAACTACATCTAATTTTTCTCATGACGCTTAACTGTAGCAACTCGAAAGCTATGCTACAGACGCTAGCGATCACGATGGACAAGGCCTACGATATGTTCTCTCACGGTGCGTATCTGCATCAATATGAACGCTTCGGTGTCGACCGCGATTTTTTCCAAGAAGCCTTTCTCCGGATTGACCAGATCACGCAAAACTACTCGTCGCTTTGATCGGAATCAAGCGCTGGGCCTACACATTGTTAACTGGTAAGGGCTGTTATATATTTACGAAGCTCACTGATTTAATTAAAGTGCTTTGTCGAAACAGAGCGCACAAGCGTCACGAAATAGAAGAAAAAGAAGAGCGTTCACGAATGCAACAGGGCAAAATCCCTTGTTATTCTTCATTTACGAGGACGGATCTCATTTGTACGTGCCTACGAGGTATGTTCTTGCTGGAACGGACTATCAACACTTGACTAACCACAGCATCCTGGGTCGCTTTTGCAGGCCTCTGGGACAACACAAACATGGTGTGGGGCTCACGGCTCCAGATTGGACATCATTTCGAGCGGCACAAATGTCTCCAATAGCGCGATAACGCTATCATCGAGCTCCAGCTCATTTTCTTGCGTGACGAACTCGCCGTGGCTGTCCATGAATTCTCCATCGTGCTTTAGGACCTGGTTTGCATCGGGAAAATGGGACGGCGGGGTCATGGACGGGTTGTACATTTGCTGCCTTTGATTTACAGGGCGTGGATGGTCGCTTGTGACAAGGACTTCAGTCTCGGTCATTTTTGTGGGGCTAGCCGTGGCTTCCGCTTTCCGCCTTCGCGCGATCTTTTCGCGATATTTCTGAGCATGAGTCATGGTCTGGCGCGTGGTTCGAGTTCCAATGTGTGCAGCGATGGTTTTCCACGGACCGGACGGGTAACATTCGAGGGCCTCTAAGAACAACTCGTGCTCCTCGAGGGTCCAGGGCGTACCAGCGCGCTTTGTGGGCAGTGAGCGGGCTTGGTCCTGGTTGGGTGCCAGGCGAATGAGCTCTTGGTCTTTCTGAAAGTACTGACTCTGGACGCGCTGTGTGATGGTCATGTCAATGTAATTGATAGAAATGTGGGGGCGGACCGTGCTGTAGTGCGGAAGCCGTGTAGTGATGTCACTGGGATGACAAATGTAAGAATGAGGAAGACGCAGCCGCCGACAGGTTTCGTCCGATGGACCGTTCACATCATTAAATTGCCAATTGCAGTTGGGACATGGAGCACAGAGACGGTCGAGGCGGTGACTTGGAGTCATGGAAGGGGCGGTGCGGGGCCTTCACAATTGGCCTACAGTGGAAACTTCTATTCCCATTAACAGTTTCCAGGTGAAAATCCAGGTTCTGTTGATTGGATATTGCTCGACTCCGGATCTTCGACTGGTGAGACTGCCGAATCTGGGGTCGTCGATTCGAGACTCAGGATGCTTTGGAGACTCGCCGGAGGGGCAGCGACGCAAATCCTAATCCTGGCTCGAATCTAGCCACATAATCGGCGACAACAGTGTAAATAATACTACTATCTGTATTATCATTTCTCTACTGTAGTATCTGTATTATCATTTCTCTATTGCCGGTATCCATACGGTACACGATGACCACAAACTCAATGATCACGATTCGTGCAGCAGTTCGTGAATCACGAACTGCTGCAAAGGCCCTACTCAGCGACTGATAATCAATAGGAAAGCGTTGCTTCAAAACCAATGCTTGGGGCCGTTCCCGATCCTTACTTGCCATACATCCTAAACTATCATGTATTAAAATAGTAAGAGCACTGGTTTTGTGAGATGTTGCTCCATGTCCAGCGTCAACTTGAGTCCAAGCAACTCCAGTCGGTGGCAAACAGCGAAATACACCGCTCTGACACACGAATTCAAGGCCTGCACCTGCAGCTGTGCCTGGAAAGCTTAGTGAGTATGAAGACGGACAATCGGCCACCGCCACTCCTGTAGATTGGCTTCGACAAACTGAACCATTACTATTAATACATACAAGACTCATATTTAGCGAATAAGTAAGGTTAAATAGACTTCCTTCTCTCCCTTCTATACATGAACAGTACGATAGCGGAAGAAGGTTATGCCAGTCGTTCCAGTCGCGCTGCGGAGCAATTTGTCTACGTATTACAATTTGTAATTTACAAAGCTTGTCATACATTGTACCAGGTAATGCAGCTGACACGTTCGCAGCTTTCCCGCAGTTGCAGCTGCCGCCTGTACGTGGTGTGGTAGCGTGGCACGCTAAGCGTGCCCGCCACTTGTTCGCGACCTACAGTGTACAAAGCAAGAAACGATGTTGCCGACTTGATATAGTGAAAAACGGAGTAACTTCATGCATTTGGTATTCAATACCGCGCTGCAGAGGGTAGCTTTTCGTGAAAAGACCCCGAATCTTCGTGTCAATTGTGACACGCTGAAACACGTACTAAAAGTAGTACTGCAACACAAATTCCATAAAGTAGCCTTTATGACGTATTCTGATCGCGGCGTTGGTAAGCAAAATCCGATTGTCAGAACGGGCATACAAATGCTAGGTCTAAAACTGATATTATCGAGTGATGGTCTTTGAATTTTGCCTATCACCGAGATTAACAAGACAAGATATTAACCAATCCGAAGCGAGATTGTGCGCTAGCTAATCTGAGCAGGGCCAAACAATGTGGTCCACACTGCTGTTGAACTTGAAAGAACGCCTTTATTAATAAGAGAGTGGGTATCTTGCCCGACTGGGATTGCCCTTCCCCTACGCATCCCTTTCTCTTACCGAGCTGGTTCATCCGTACAACAGTATACATCGTATACCACCGTGAGCCACACAATTCGTTAACGGGGAGAGCGTGAGCGACAAGCATGGATCTCCGCACGCGCGCAGCGCAAAAGCGCCCTCTTACTCATTCAGCTGAGTGGGAGTCCGATGAGAGCGAGGGTAATAGTTCGGATGCGCCTCCTGCTGACGTCTGGGCGCCTTCCCCCGTCGTGAGTGAGCTTAATACGACACATATTCCGTTGGAGCCAGTGAGCTGCTCCGATCCGCCGGAATCCACCAGCAGCACAAGCGAAGGTGGTAGCTCCGTCCGCGTACTCGCCTTGGCGCCTAAGAAGGTTGAGTTTCCCTCCTGGGAGGTGTTTGAAGATTATCTGGCCGTATACCAAGCACAGACGTTCCAGGCACGTGTTTTCTATAGCTGTGTATATACGTTTTGGCTGACATGCACTATGAATTTATCTGTAGATTTTCAGGGTGAGGACAAATACGACTGTGGCAGAGCGCAACGCACGGATCGACCGCACAAAGTCAAAGGCGGAAAAACTTCCTGACGAGTGGGTGCAATACGCAAAGACCTTTGTTTGCACCTATTCCGGGAAATTTAAGTCCCAGGCCACGAGCAAGAGACCCCGGCAGGAGTCTAGGATGAAAGGATGCAATGCCCAGGTAAAGTGAATGATCGGGCTCGGTCGGGCTTGGTCGGGCTTGGTCGGGTTCGTTCGATCGGGATTGAGACTTGTCTGGTCGTGATGGAAATCCAAATGAGGTCTTACCACTCTCTATGTGATTGATTATGTGTAGATAAATGCCTGTGTTCAGGTGGTGGATTCTGAGAAGATGATCTTCGCTGTGAGGATAACGAGATGCCGACTGGAACACAATCATCGGCTTTCGAACCATTCGTTTAGAGCACATCCAACAAATCGTCTTGTACTGAATGAGGATGCTTTACAGACAGTGGATGTACTTCGACAGGCTGGTGCTAAGAAGTCGAGTATCATGAAGTACATTACGGAAAACTCGGACAGCAACCCGACTTCGCAAGATGTCCACAATCTTATTCGTAAGTTGAAGGCTCGCAAAATTGCGAGATGGCCCGAGCACTAGTGAAAAGCGGTTGAAGAAGTGGATGAAGCAATTTGGTGACCGCCCTGGTAATGTTGGTCGGATTTTCCTCGACGATATAAATCAGAAGGTAACTGGTGTGAATAATTTGGGTTGAATTGAAAAGATGAAAACTTAACTCTATGTTTATCGTGTTTTGAACATACAGAAAGTGGCGACTTGCATCACCCTGCAGACGAATCATATGAGGACTCTGTTCGAGCAGTTTCCTGAAGTTCTTTTGATTGACGCCACCCACGGAACGAATCGGTCTAAGTACAAGGTCTTAAAACTGAAGGCTATCCCCCTGCTGTCATCAAAGGTATGTATTTTGTCGTTGTACAAAATCGTTTCAGCTCATGCTAACTTTCCTTAATGTGAGTTAAGGCGGAAATACTGGACCTCATTGGGAAAACTCAACTAAGTGACGATACTATTAGCTTTGTTATGTCCTCGCTCTTCGAGTCCAAAGCAAGTATTATAACTGTGGATACAAATGTTATCGGTCCAATGGAACATGGTGCTGTCTCAGTCCCGATGACGGTATTCGCGGACATGTTCAAGAACTTGTCGACGGAGAAAATTCTGATCCCTGTATGCTGCAACAAGAACCATTGGTGTGGTACTATGGTGGATGTGGAGCGCACAGAGGCAATCGTGTACGACCCAATGGCTTCTACATACATGATTGGAGTCCGAGCGCTTACTGAGAAGATAGTGACCCAGCTGCCAAATTTCGCCCCACGAAAGTATCGTGTCTCTCCCTATCGTGGAAATCTAGGCGTTCAGGTCGACAGTTTTAACTGCGGGATGTATGTCTTGCTGGCGTTTGAAGTGTTTGCTGGGGCCGACGGACTTAGCTACCTGAACAGAAAGGAACTACAGTATTTGCGCTATCGATACCTCTGCATGTGCGCGTAAGCCTAACAAGTTAGCAATCGTTTTACTTTAGAAAAACGTTTTTGAGTGCTAAGTTGGATCCGCTGTGAACGGAGTACATTGAATGCTTTGCCCTCTTCGTCAGATTCAGAGTCTTAATATCCGTGTATACGCGCTGGACACGTATACTTGGAGTGCGTTTCCTGTGATTGCACAACTGAACCTTTATCTAGTCGGGGTCAGTCGGGCATCCGTCGGGTTGGGTCGGGCAATGTAGCCTGACTCTTTCACACCCAGTCGGGCTAGATAACGAGTGCCTATTAATAATAATGAATCGAGAAAATCTCTTCTAGAAACATAAATTTGCTTCGGCCAAATTTCGCGCTGGTAAAAGTCAAAGGCACTCTTTATTTTGCTCGACTGAGGTAACATAGCATCGACTTTATACGTGTACAGATAGTATAGTACGGTTTAATTGGAGTAAAGGTAGGACACTAGCGCGTTTGCACTCTTCTCCGGACTCATCGTGGGCCCCAAGTCAGATCCAGGTGGACGGCAACAGTGATCGTAGCAATCCTACCCATAGGCTGCATGTACCTAGGAAAACGACACAGCAACAGCTTTGTCAATAAATTGAACGATGCGAAGGATGAGCCTTCAGTCAACCATGGTTGGCAACAAATGACTGAGCAGATATGCATGAAGTAGTAGGTGTGGCAGTCCAAAGATCGCTCGCTTGTATTAATACATGTACAGTACCATGCGTTCAAACTGAATCTAATGTGCGAGCCCTGTGATTGGTTATCTTTTTACCATTGTCATACGCTCCGATAAATATTTGACTCCAGGACCCCAACAATTATCACCCCATATGAGAATATACTCCGTGTTTTCTCAGACCAAAGTTGTATTTGGGAGGGGGGGATATATTTTTTTGTCAAACTTTGCCCCAACTGGTGGCAGTGCTCTTAACTCGCGGACAGTGAAATCCTTGATCTACATGTATAATTGTGCCCCCCCCTAAAATACCCTCCCTATTATTGTGTCACCTGCGAATTATCGGATTTCCTTTGCGGAACCAAAGTAACGAGGTTGCTATAACACATTCTGACCAAGACGAAGCTTAAAGAGATCGTCGGAGAGCCAATCATCGACGATCTTTTTAAACTTAAAAGTAGGAAGGCCCGGCAATATCTTATTACTTGACCTGACATTGATTTGTGCTCCCGAAAATAGAGCCCTCCCTAAAATAGTGCCCCCTGTAAAATAGTACCTGTGTTTGAGGGTGGAGTACTATCAATAATGCAATTCCCCAGGGCACATTTATAGGTTTTACAGTTGTTTAGTGTTTCTCAGTAAATGTGCTCCAGGGGTAATTAACTCAATACAGTGCTGATGCAAGCCTCACCGTAATCTCTCACTACAGTTGACACTACTGTACATGTTCTCGCGCCGATTATTATTGGACTGCAGACCTGCCCGGATTGTTGACGCGAACCTTAACATAATCTACATTGAACTCGGCCAATAAAGTACCACAAGCTGCCCCATCTGTGTTTTTGCGAGTGATGGTGTATCAGCTGCTTAAGCTACGTTTATTTCGTTGCGAAACACCGTCATCTTCGGGATCCTGTTGTAATTTTTTACGCGTTTTCAATTTTTCTTTTTTATTGTCTATAATTCTCTGGATTTAAATCCAGAGCTGTAAGGGTGATCTCTGATTTTTAAAATGATTGCACCACAAAAGCCAACTTCACTATCTTCTTAAAGAGCAATTACGAAATGCGATGT